CCTCCCTTAAAGATTTTGCAGCTCTTGTCTCTAGTGTTTGGCTTTTTTTCTGTCATAGTGAGGTGACCCTTCTTATCTGCTTCTTTCTGCCCTCTCTCCCAGGTGCACCTCAAGCCCCAAGACATGTCCTGCTACAACTCGTGCCTGCCCTGTCGGCCCTGCGGCCCAACCCCACTGGCCAACAGCTGCAATGAGCCCTGTGTCCAGCAGTGCCAGGACTCCAGAGTCGTCATCCAGCCTTCTCCCGTGGTGGTGACCCTGCCCGGACCCATCCTCAGCTCCTTCCCACAGAACACCGCTGTGGGCAACTCCACCTCTGCTGCCGTTGGCAGCATCCTGAGCTCGGAGGGAGAGTCCAACCAATTCTCCGGCATCAGCGGCCTCAACTGTGGCAGGAGGTGCCTCCCCTGCTAAAGCTGCTGCTTGCTGCTGGACCTAGGGAAGGCCCCCAGGAACCGACAAGATGGTACTGGATGGGGAGTGGAGCATAATCTTTTCACTTTCAGAGTTGCTGAGCAACCCTAGCTCCCTTTTTAAAGGCATGGTGCCAATCTGGGCTGTCCGAAGGCACAGCCCATGCCTGCCTTTCCTCTCTTCCACTCTCATTTTGCTCTTGTGTCCTTTTTCTCTTGTGCTCCTCTGGGCTGTGAGCCCCACCAAGTTAGTCTAGTGGGGACCTGTTGGCCCTGCTTCCTTTATGGAACAGGCACATGGACACCTGTTAGGATGTCTTCCGTGGTTTTGTGAGACAAACTCCTTTCTGTCACTGGAGACCTCCACTTTGAATGAACTCATTCCCCTTTTTTGACTCATTGAATTTCTTCTGCATCCAAATCTATGCCTCTGTGTCATCTTTTTACACTTAGACATTCTGCCAAGATGCCCGGGGAGAGGGACATTTCTCGAGGTTGCTTCTGGCAAGAGGTGTTTAGGGATTGTTGTGCAGTACCTGATAACATAGACTTATACAATGAATGCTTAGTCCTGCACTGGGTTACTCTCTACTTTCTTAAGTCCTTTGATTTTTCCAAATCCAGCAGGCTGATTGTATTTTAGTCACAAAGGGGATTTTAGTGTGAGTGACACTCATGGCTAACCCTAAACACTGTGGAGGGAAAGTACACCCAGAGCACCACTATATTTCTCTACTGCACCAGTCTAAGTTGGTCCACATCTTGCAATCCTTCCCACACCATGAAATTTCCACTGTTTTGGGAGAATATCCACCCTTTGTTGGATGCGGAGGGAAGAGCAGCGACCAGCGATATGGAAAAAGATGAGGTGCTTAATGCC